CATCAGTCGTATCTAAACCGGTCCTGAGCCCCCGTTTTCAGTAACCCACACTGACCAGCGTGGTGAAGTATGGTCAAACAACCTCCATGTCTCACACAGCATGGTGAACCTTCATCCAGTCGTGGATTGACAAAGGGCTGCACACTAATATTATATCTAAAGGTGTCAATTATATGTCAAACCAGTGTACTGTGCTAATTTTGTTTCAGATTAATCACCAGAGCCGGCCCAGCCACTAAGCGACCATTGCAATTGCAAAGGGCCCCGTGGCCAGCAGAGGGCCCCCTAGAGTCACTGCTAGCTAGTGGGTGAAAAAAATCATACATCAAAGGGGCCTCCAACCAAATTTTGCTTAGGGCCCCCAAAGGTCTAGGGCCGGTTCTGTTAATCACACATATTTCTTGGCCAAATAATGTAAAAGCAAGGTTTTAAAATACTGCAAGAGCACTTTCCAAGCACGTGCTAACAGGGTCGAGCGGTTACAGAAAACCGGGTGGCATCCTTTGGTACGATTGCCAAACCTACTCTCACTTTCACAGCAAGCGTGCTGTCCTCATTAGTGTGGCGTGATAGGTATTGCATGGCACACATTGCCCATGTGCAGTATAGCACGGATTGATATTCTCATTATTGCTATTTATAATGTATAGCCTTTTTCCAATAAACTGCTGTATGAGTGCTACTCTATCGAAGTTATGGGGCTTGTTGGACCGTACAGTACTTCGACACTCTGGTCAAAGCAGGTTGGTGAAGGCTCGCGACCCAGCATCGGTTCACATGTTCACATATCATTCATATTACCTGTGGCTGGGTATCAAACTCAGATTTGGAGATTTCATAGCACGAGCTACCATTCCATCCATAATGTTGATAGTTACTGCGTGGTGATGTTCTACGCTGTGGAGACACGTTATTGAGGTGAGAGAAATACAAAAAGAAATGCTGGAACTTAGGTGCAATTTCTCACTGGCTCCTGTCCTCCTGCAGCTTGCTGACATTCCGAAATCAGACTTGCTTTCATCGATGGCCAAGGATGTCACTGCTCTGTACGCTCTGTACCATGTGAAGTTCTTCCCCTACCCCCACAGTGGTCCAGCCCATCAAATCAACTTTAGAAATGCTCCCAAACCCTCGCTTCCCAGGCACCCACACCCACCCCACCCCACCTCACCCACCCACACATCCCACCTACACACATCAGCCAAAAAAATGCTTGCCTGGCACGATCACTATCACGAAACAAAATTCCTGTTTGAACCACAATTCACAACGGGTTTAGAAAATGAACACAAAATGAGTGCAACACCGCTGGCAATAACAACACTAGACCTTAAGCGCCATCGTTCTGCTCCTACGAAGGCACATTATGAGTTGACTACAGTAGCGTGCAAGCCATGCTGCCGTGGTGTGAAACACTCAGCAAACTGGACCTTGCAATCTCCTGGCCTGGTGGTTGCAACAATGTTGCAAAGTGCCTGGAATCCTCCCGCCTCTGTCCACCCAGAGGTAACAAACATGTAAAACAGTCAATTCGATCGGCTGGTCGCATGTGGCGGGGTAAAGTACGAGCACTCCCACCTCTTCCCAGACCTTTGGCCAGCATAGAATACTGTAGAGTAGGCCAATGCCCTCTCAAGGAAGCCCTCTCTAGTACTCTCTAGGGGTGCCTCTATCGCCAGCAGCGATTTGAACAAGAAATTGCAGGGCAAAATCTCTACATTTTGAAATCCTTTATATTAAGTTCACTTGCTTGCTTGCTTGCACGCTTACGGCCGTGCAAATCTTTCGGTCGTCTTTTAACACACTTCCCGTGATCCAATCGAGCTGACATTTTGCACACAGACTCGTTGTGCGTGACAATTTCTTTTAGTGAAATTTTTTTTCCAAAATTTTACACTTTTTACGTAAAAAAAATTTCTATTTAATTACCAATTGCTTAATGGTGGCAGGCAATCATCTGACCCATAGGTGGCAGCCATCTCAAGCCAGAGGACGAGAGGACTCTAGCCGCCACGCATATAAAGGATTTATAGTGAAAAACTTTGTTTTTACGGGTTCATTTTTTTCACGTGCGTTTGGGCTAAAGTTGTAACTGGAATAGGGGGGATGAGGGGGGGATCACGCATGTGTTTTTGAAGTCAACACCTGCACCGGCTTTGCAGCCACGATTCAAATTAAACTTTTCCATTCACCACAGGTGTTGCCACATATAAAGGTGTGTCTCCATATATGACCTGGACTTTATATCTTTTCATTTTGCAACGCACCACCTTTGCACTTTACAACAGGCATTGATAACGACAACACTCCTAGCAATAATACGCATGTTTTATGAGTCTGGTTCATGAAAGTTACTCAAAGGTTAGATCCCAAATCAATACAACCATCGTCAGCCATGATCAATCCTAGAACCTGCAACAATCCACCAAGCACCTGCGAACGAGCCGATCTCATCACTCCATCTAATTCTATGCCTTGGCTACCTCGCCTGGTATACAGGAGGTCGTGGGTTCGATCCCTACCCTGACGCTTGTTGTAAATTTTGACTTTGCATGCTCTCCCCGTGGTCGCGTGGATTTTTCTCCGAGTCCTCCGGTGTTTTCCCCTCCACATTTAAAAACAACATCATGCGTTGAGAGTATTCGGCTGCTATACATTTCCACACGATGATAAGCCACTTTGTTGGGCTATCATGCGTGGCCAGGCCGCTTCTGAAAAAGAGCTACATAGCTCAGTGGGCCTTACCTGGTAAAATAAAAAAAAAATTGTTTTATAGTTCCATTATTCTTGACCGTCGGCTTTCATAAACTTGTAGCAACGCGTCTTGACCAAACCTTAACTCAACAATTTGAAATATCTTGAACCGGCGCGTGCACTCGAATGCGCGTCCTTCCTCGTTCCGTCCCGTCAGTGTCATCCTCCCAGCATGCTTCTCTCTTCATGCCTCGTTGCACAAATTTCAGTTTTTGTTCCGTATTATTTGGCAATGACTCCACCACAACGATCCCCCCCCCCCATCCCCAATATTCAGTTGTTCCGTTTCCTTCGTTTAATGGCAGTGTTTCCGATCCAAGTCGTGGCAGGTAAGGGGCCGTCCATAAATGACGTCACGCGATTTTGGACGATTTTTGACGCCCCCCCCCACCCCCTAGTCACACTGCGTCACAAAAAGTCAGACCCCCCCTCAAATATGACGTCACAAAGATCTGCCCCCCCCCCCCCAAAAAAAAAAACATGCTTCAAATCGCTTTAAACTATTGTCATTGTAGTGCGTAGTTAATGTGGCGCTGCACTCTGATGTTGTAGGAGAAAACATTGATTAAAAAGTCTATTTAATTAAGTAGAACGTGTTGTCTATATTTATTTAAAGTTGCGCATTTTGATGTGACGTCACATTTCTCAAACCCCCCTCCCTTCGTCACACATCGTCACAAACGTCTGACCCCCACCCCCCCCCGGTGCGTGACATCATTTATGGACGGCCCCTCATACGCATTGATTGACAAACACAATAACCCAGGTACATCGGTGTTTGCCAACTCTTCATCATCTATTCAGATGTCCAGCTTAAATCCGACACCTGTGTGCAACGGAGCCTGGCTAATTTGGTGATGACAACGCAACGGCGCATGCACGCACAGAAGAGACACGCGCACACCTGAAACGTTAAAACTCCTAATCGCACGCACACACACACACAAGCAGTCACAAGGGCGGGACGCCCGGAACCCTACCCGCTCTACCCACCTACCCAGTACTGTATCCACCACATCCACGGTGGAACACTTTAAAATGTATATCTATGATCCTTAAAAGGTTTACAGCTCCTTGTCACTCTACTGCTGAATGATGCCACTTCGCCCGTAACTCCCTCCCCTTCTCTCCCATGCCCTATTGTTTGTGAGGGCTGCATTTCCCCATTGCCTTCACCACGGCTGCTCAGTGCACGTTTATGGAGGTGTGGGACGGGATGACGAGGGATGGGGTGGGGGAGTTAAAGACTGGCTTGCGATGTCACTTGCCGTCGGTTAACGCCGAGGCCAGGAATCCAACGGAGGTACGCGTGGGTCATACGTAGCACACAGCGCGCTAACCACAGCGCCACCGCTCCACCTTTACCCTACCACAGGCTCAAATAAGCACTGTAACCGTGCATCACTTCTTCGTCGTCAGCTACCTAGGCGAGGCTACCTAGGCGTTTCCCAACCCATTCGGCTGCATTCGGAAACAAATCCATGCGTCTGTTCCATACCCAAAAGGAGCACAGATAACACTCAATCGCTATTTGCTCTAAAGGCAGTGAGGGGGGGGTGGTGGGGTAATTCCACATTACTGTGGCCGGGAGCTATAGTTGTCGTCTCATATGACAACCAGCACAAAGTGGTACTCAATTTGAGTCGTCGTTCATGAGCGCTCATGAGCCACATGGGAGATCTTCACTCAGCAGTGGATCTAGAAAGGGGCTGACAACTTGTGATTCTAACTCGGACGTTGCAAGCAAGCGAGTGATGTATCAAACGCGGTCTAAAAGTTGCACGTAGAAACCACGTATCTCACAAACACACACAAAGTCTACCAAGTGAATGCATTCTATCGCCTCGCCAAGAGGTCCGATCATAAGGGAACTGTACTGCACACGTGGGGAGGGGAAGGGATAGGAAGACTGAGTTCGATTCTTAGTCCCGGCTAACATCAGTGTTATATCAGAACTGGTTCGACCAAATCACCACCCTCCCACCCACCCTGCACTAACCCGTACTGGCCAGTCCGGTGAAGTATGGTCAAACAGCCACCAATAACCCCCAGCAGCGGATTGACAAACAGTAGCTGTACAACTGTGTTGTTGTTGTTGTTTGCAACTTTATTGCGGGCAAATAATTCGCAACGTTCGCGGCGTGCGCATCATCCACTCTCAACTCACTGCTGGGGTGGTACCACCTCGGCGTACGTGAAGAATACGTAGAGTCGTGTCAATGACACCATCTCTTTCACTCGCTCACCTGAGCTTCATGTTGGCCAAGAAGTCTTCCGTGGTGATGTTATCCAGCAGCACAAAGTCTGCCTTGCCAAACTCCAAATCCTCTTGCTCCGCCATAGTCCTCTTGTCAAATCCAACGTTCGCCTCCTTGCTCGACTTCGGTGCGTCAAAGCCCCTTCGTGCACCTACTTTAACGCACGCCCGCCCCTGAGAATGTGCAAGCACTCTTACTCACTTCCCGGTCTCTCTCGCGCGCACGTTGTTGCCGGCAATGAGTAATGGTAGTAGGGAGGGCAGGCTGAGAGCGCGAGAGAGATGCAGGGAAGGGAGGAGGAGGAGAAGGGGGGGGAAGAGATGAATGGATGAAGAGAGGAGATGTAACGAAGGGATGAATGTGGCTCCACGGCACAGGCTGTGTTTGCAAAAGAAGCAACGTCTCACTTACACACACCCACAGAGAGACACACAACTTGTTGCCTGCAAACTATGTCACGACTGCTGTGTGTGTGCCGTCAGAGTGAGGCTTGCTGGTTCGCCGCCCTTCCCACAGGCACGAGGAGACGCCCTGCCTACCCTCCCACACTGCATGACGCACACATTCCACCCACCCCACCACCACCTTCACTTGCAGCAAGAGCGGGGGACACGCTACTCAACTCCGGCGCTCACAGTGGAAGAACTCCCGACGATTCCTAATCCGCGAACCCAGTCAGCCACGACGCCGGTCGTCATCCCTTGGACGATGTAGGTTGACCGCGAAAAAGAAAAAAAAACGAATATCCGCTCACCTATTCTTCCTGTTCATCTACGGCAGTGTTGTTCACTCATTTTTAGAGCGGGGGGGGATAGGGGAACCACTTTGGGGCCGTCCATAAATGACGTTACATTTGTGACGATGTGTGACAAGGGGGGGGGGAGGTAAGAAATGTGACGTCAGATCAAAATGCGCAACTTTAAATAACTATAGACAACACGTTCTATTTAATTAAATAGACTTTTTAATAAACGTTTTCTCCTACAACATCAAAGTGCAGCACCACATTAAATACGCACTACAATGACAATACTGTAGTTTAAAGCGATTTGCAGCATGTTTTATTTTTTTTTGGGGGGGGGGGGCAAGGCTTTGTGACGTCATATTTGAGGGGGGGTCTGACTTTTTGTGACGCCGTGTGACAAGGGTTGGGGGGTCAAAAATCGTCCAAAATCGCGTGACGTCATTTATGGACGGCTCCTTTCGCCGATAAGACATCATCAATGTGTGGGGGCCGCCACACATTTGAAACCATTGGGGGTTTGGCAGCAGCATGAGGATGGCGATGGGGGGGGGGGTGTTTTCACTTGTTGTGTATTATCGGGGGGCCCGCACGTCACTAAAGGCCACCAGGGGCCGCAAGTGGCCCGAGGGCCTTGCAATCCATGAGACACTTCAGCGTACAGGCATTTACTAATGATGTGCTTCACTCTGATATTGACAAGGTCTGCGATATCCCCAACCTGACTACGGCTTGGGAGACCTTCGGGTACACGTTTCTCCAAATTCTTGACAAACATGCTCTGTTGGTTAGATTTTAAATTAAAGGCACGTGAAAACTAGGGACAAGGCTTGGGCATGTGCTCAGAAAAAGTAATTTGGTCAGTGACTGGCTAGAATACAGGATTTTAAGGAATAGATGTGTCAAAACAATATGGCATGCAAAAAATACTTACTTTTCCTCCACTCTTCTGGAATCACGTGGCGATGCCAAGGTCTTCTGGAAAACAGTAAAATGTATCGAAAAGGCATCTAACACAGATCATCTTCCCGTTGCGCTTAGCCAAAATGGGGACTATTTTTCAGAGCCCCAAAAAATAGTCGACAATTTTAACCTTCGTTTTTCTGAAGCTGGTGACCTTTTTTATAATGTATTGGGAGTCACCCCTGCTCATGTAATTTCCTACACCCCTGTCCAAACATTAAACGAATTTACTTTCCAGCTTATCCACGAAACAACCGTCCTACCTCAAAGGGTCCTCCTCTACCGGAACGGTTAGTATTCCCGTCTTTGCTCTGCTAACTGTTGGTCACCTAATATACAAACCTATAGCCCATATTTTCAACCTGTCCATAAAAAAAGCATCGGTACCTCTAGAATTGAAACATTCCTATGATCGTCCACTTCACAAAGGGGGCCCTAAAGATGATCCAAATAACTACCGGCCTATCTCAATTTTGTCCCCGTTGATGAACATTTTTTTTAAATTATGGAACTACCAAATTAGCAGTTTCCTGTCCGACAACAATCTCTTACATCTAAACCAATCTGGGTTCTGAAAAAATACAGCACCACATCTGATGCATTAGACTCTCTAAATCACATTTACAGTAGCATTGATAATAAGCAGTACTGCGCCAGTCTTTTTCTTGACTTGTCCAAAGCTTTTGATACAGTCGACCACAACATCCTGCTTAGTAAACTAAGTTGCCTCCGTTTGTCCAAACACGCAGTGGAATGCTTAAAAATGTACCTCTCTTCTCGCACCCAAACTGTATTCATAGGTGGTTGGAGGTCAAACAGTGCTAAGATAACAAAAGGGGTTCCACAGGGTTCCATCCTCGGCCCCCTCTTGTTCTCTCTTCATGTCAATGACTTGGGCACTGACCTGGATCATTCCAGGATAAATCTGTTTGCAGATGACACGATACTGATTACTGCTGGCTGCTCGCCGGATGACGTGATTGCTAAGCTCCAGGATAATTTCAACAAACTACATCAGCTAGTTGCTCTTAAACTAGTCCTGAATACCTCCAAACCAAGGTGCTATGCTTCTCACCAGGACTAAAGCAGGACATTATTTTCCCCAATTACATTCCTTAAATAACTATCAAATAGAGCAAGTCAAGATCTAAAAGTATCTTAGGGTCATCTTTGATTCAAAACTGAATTTTCAAGATCACATTGATTATATTGGTTAAAAGACAAAATAAAAAATAGGTTTTCTGTATCGACACAAGTATTGCTTCCCCCCTATGTTTCGTTTGGAATTGATAAAAGCTACCATACTTCCTCTACTTGATTACTGTTACATCGTATGTAAATCAACCCCCAGTACTGTACTGAAGAAGCTTGACCCAATTTATCACTCGGTTTAAGATTTGCATTGAACTGTCCATATAGGACCCACCACTGCGATCTCTACATTGGGTCAAACTTAACATCTCTTAATGATCGACGGCTTGTGCATCAGATCTTATTTATTCACGATGTACTTACAAAAAAATCAGCAAACTACCTGCTGGATCTCCTCACTGTTTCGAAGAACAAATGTGACCTAAGGTCTTTGCTCATTTACCAGCTTCACATTCCTTATTGCCGTACAAATACTGGAGGAAAGTCCTTTGCTGTTGATGCCCCCAGGGTCTGGAATGCTATTACCAATAAACTAAAACTTGAATCACTACCTGTGAGATCTGCACTCAAAGCTGCTCTTGAGGAGCTGTACACACCCCGCTGCCACTGCGATGCAGAGTGGCCTGAAATCAAATGCACCACTCTGGATGTCCACTGCAAAGTATGATCTTGAGTTTTTATTATAGTGGGCTGATCTTTAAAGGTGCATTGAAAAATGTTGATACTCCTGCTGTTATGGAGTGACTCATGCTGCCAGCTATGGCTGCAAAGTTTGGTCGTATATGTGTTGTATATCGTTTATTGTTAAATTGATTTACAGTTCATATGATCACTGTTACATTGTTTTTATCGCTTTATTTTGGTGATTCCGAAAACGCATGGTTAAGCCATGTTTGTTTGTTGAAGTACGGAGTTAGCCTGATAACTTTAATCTAAATTGTCTTATGGTTGTTATTGTTTGACTTGCATCCCACTGGGATTTTTGCACATAGCGTTGATATGTGGTGCTTTTTTCTGGACGATTTTTCTGGTTTTTCCTGGATGTTTCTGTTGCGCGTCGTCACTTGAAGATGTTCTTTGTTCATGTTTTGTTTGTTGCGGTTGCACCCGAGTCAAGAGCCTCATGGCTCACAGGGCTACACCTAATGAATGAAACTGAACTGAATGAAGAGCAATGGGTATACAGTAATGATATACCCGTAGTGTTTTTAAAGCACAATTAAGGTTTTTGGGCGAGTATAAATGTGTCGTAACCCTCCACCACCCGACACAGCCAGTAAGGGATTTGTCACATAAACAACGCGCCAATTAGCTACTACTTCAGCCCACCGGTGTGTTTGAAGAGTGTCTCCACAACATTTACAATTTGAGTACGACGTTTCGCTGGTAATTACATCCAGCATCATCGGGCGATTTGCCAGAATAGTGAAGCCATCCACCTGCTTCCGGTCTTAGATAGAGCAGCAGGGTGACGTCATCACCATAACTCTATCAGGTGCAGAGATCAGAGGCGGTATTGCAATTATATAGTAGTTAGTAATCAGTTCATTAGCATGTGTTTCCTCTATAAGGAATGCAGTTGTAAGATTTATTAATTAACAAAAACGCTTCCAGGCCGCACTCAGCCTGTAGCTGTCAGAGCGGCTTAAGACTATTGGTATTTCTCTCAATTTCAATGGATTCTCGAATTAGTCTCGGCCAGCAATAATTAGTTTAACACAACACTCCAACGGTATCAAAATAAATGGAGTGTCCTTGTTGGCAAGCCTGTTCTGCAACTGCCGACAGTTGTGTTTAAGAGTATTTAATATTTCGTTGGTGTTCTTTTAGTCTTACTCTAATGTTACGTCCCGTCTGTCCAATAAAGCGTCTGCCACATAAGCAATTAATCCGATACACACCTTCTGTTGATAACTTAGGCAATTCATATTTTGTACAAGATACTAGTTTTGAATGTTGTGTCCCGTGCCAAATCTTACTCTGATTTTTTTGTTTGTCCAAAACTCTAACTAATTTGTCAGTTACTCCCGCAATATCTGGTATTTTGTTTTAATAACCCGATTGCTTTCAGCAATATTGGTCGCGAAAGCCTACGTGTAAAATTTTTCAAACCAAGTTAACACCAATGCAGTTTGTACGGATTCAAACCACTGCAGATTATATGAATTATTACCATTGAAGATTCTACGGATTGATACAACATGATACTTTATAGATTCACATATACTGACATCCTTCAGATTCTATGGATTTACATATTTGTAGATGCCATGGATTAACACCACTTAAGAGTGTAAAGATTCACACCACTGTAGATTGAATATGTTTACTTCATATTAACAGTAAGTGTTCATCATAATGTTATTTATATAGATTAGTTATAGTTTTGAATATATCAATATTCACCGGGTACTTTTTCATCATACCGATATATTCGCAAATTATATATTTTTTAACTGGATACAAGAATGCCCCTTGGGAATAATTTCAGTTGTGCTGATATCCAAGGTGCGCTTGTATGAGAAGTATCTGTTTGCCTTCCCCCACCAGTGAAAAGCAAGAATACAGTTCTTAAATCATAAATCAGACTGTACTTATATACGGTGTGCTTATATGCAAGCTGCACTGTGTGGATAA